AATCTCTCAGCGCAAGGAATAGAAGTTCATGGAGAGAATTCCAGGTAGAAGGCCAAGCAAGTGCTCTAGTGTCTACCTGAAACTAGAAAGTGTCAGGTAGCGCCTGCCTTCCTTCTCTCCTCCTACAGGGCTACACAGGCCTGTTATCCACTTACTCTTTCTGACTTTTCCATTTGTCCCCCTCTGCTGAACAGCATCTCTGCTCTATCATCCCCTTCCATATCCTCTGGAGCCCACATGGCTTCCCAGCTATACTTCCTGAGCTGATCGTGTTTGTTTCTCAAATCTGTTTTATATTCCCTGGAGAGAGTATCTGATTGGCTCCACTTGGGTGAGATGTTCAGTACTGGTTCCATCTCCAGTGGATAGGGGGAGCTGGAGACAGATGGGGCTGCCCCTGTTGGGGTGGGGAGGGCGGACATGGGCAGAGCAGACTCCATGAAAAGGGCACACCCTTCCTTGTGGACAAGGAAGAATCTTAGTATAATATACACTTAGCTAGAATACAGCAGAGGAGATTCAGGCTTCATCTGGTTGCATGGCTTCTAATGTCAGTGAAGCTCTCCCATTTCTATGGCATGGGGCTTAGTTGTTGGTTGTTGTTGCTGTTGTTTGTGATTTTTTTTTTGCAGTTTTTGGCCGGGGCCAAGTTTGAACCCGCCACCTCCCATATATGGGGTTGGTGCCCTACTCCTTTGAGCCACAGGTGCCACCCGGGCCTTAGTTTTGTAAAATTAAGAAGTAGAATTAGAAATAACAGTAATAATAACAACTAGCATTTATTGACCTTCTACTATGTGTCAGATGCCCTTCAAAGCACTTCACACGCACTAATTTAACTTATTTAATGCCTATAAAGCATTTAAGATGGCCACTCTGATGTTACAGACTGAATGTTTATAACCCCCCCCACCAATATTTCATAGGTTGAAATCTAATCTCCACTATAATGGTATTTGAAAGTACAGACTTTGGGAAATGATAGAGTCATGAGGGTGGAACCTTCACGAATGGGATGAATGTCCTTATAAAAGAGGCCCCAGAGGGCTCCCTCACCTCTTTCACCAGGTGAGAATACAGTGAGAAGACTGCTGTCTATGTGCCAGCAAATGGGCCTTCTCCAGACCCTGAATCTGCCAGCATCTTGATCTTAGACCTCCCAGCCTCCAGAACTGTGAGAAATAAATGTCTGTTATTTATGTACGTATTCTGGTCTATGTATTGTGTTACAGTAGCCCAAACTAAGATGGGTGCCATCTCATTCCAATATTCAACAAGTTGATCTATAAAGTGCAAATCTCAATTTGCTCAACCCTTATCCTTAATGATCTTATTAAACAGAAACATCTCCATCCTTCTACAGTCCTGACATTTTTATCTTCACATAAAAATTCATCTATTCATTGATAAGGTTTTAATGATTATTTAGGCTTTCAAAACAAAGACATTTTATTTCTAAAAAATTTGAAAGAAAAATGAGAATTTGAAGATAACTCTCCCACATAATGTATGATGCAATGAAATGTATAATAGAATACAATAGATTATACCTATTGAAATATACAGGTTGGCTTGGTGCCTATAGCTCAACTGGCTAAGGCGCCAGCCACGTACACCTAAGGTGGCGGGTTCGAATCCCCAGCCCGGACCCACCAAACAACAATGATGGCTGCAACCAAAAAAAAAAAAAAAATAGCCGGGCGTTGTGGCGGGCACCTGTGGTCCCAGCTACTTGGGAGGCGGAGGCAGGAGACTCACTTGAGCCAGGAGTTGGAGGTTGCTGTGAGCTGTGATGGCACAGCACTCTACCCAGGGGGACAGCTTGAGGCTCTGTCTCAAAAAAAAAAAAAAAGAAAAAAAGAAATATACAGGTTGATGAGCTTTTGATAGAATTCTAAGGTGTAGCCCTCACTGAGTTGAACATTTTTTTATACCTCATACCATTTTATACCCCAGTGAAACTATCACCACAATCAAGATAATGAACATACCTATCACTTGAGGAAGTTTTCATGATCCTTTTGCATCACAAGCTTTCTCCACTCTGGCTGTTGAACAGGAACTACTCCCTGTGCAAGTTCAGACATTGTTCAGCCTGTTTTTTCCTTCTCTAGCCTTGGGGGGTTTCCTCACATACATGTTCTTGATCAGTTCCCAGAGAAGACTCAGGAAAACCCCGTGCAGATGTCCAGGACTCTCTCCTTCTGTGGCACACTCTTCTCTAGTATTCTGCCCTATAAATTCTTAGCCACCTTGACCTCCCTGAATTCTCCATTGTGTTTCCTCAGCTGGAAGAACAGGCTGTCTTTGGACTCTCTTATCTGCAGCTTGGAATCCCTCTCCAGGCAGTAAGCTGGGGCAAGCAGTGGGCTCATTCTTTCAAGTCCTTCACTGCCTATTGCCCAGTGTCTGCAAACCACTGTTTCATACATTTCCTTGTAAGGGTTAACAACTATATTACAACACATTCAAAAAAAAGTGCATCTTAGAAGGAGGTGCCAACGACCTTGCTGATTAAAAAAAACGATACAAAAGACCAGAGGCGATTTAACACTGTGCACACATTCCAAAGAAATTTACTCATATCACTCTCCACCTTCTTCCTACTTCATCCTCACAATACTAGCCTATCACAAACCAAGACTACATACATAATCAAATCTAAAAGTACCCCTCGTTCCCCCACTAACTAAACCTATAAAAACCCCTACCTATTACAATAAACAGCTTCGGCTCAGTCCCTTTCCCAATGTGTCTGTCTTGTCTTATTTGTCTTCCCCTTTCATACACCGACTCCCCAAACCGCCGTCGCCAGTCGGGAGGCAGCATTTCCCCCTAGATTTTTCATTTTAGGTTATAGGGTAAATCTAATCCCTGTAGTTTCATCATGGCAGCAGCAGAAGTCAGAACTTATTTTTTCAAAAAATAAAGCTTACAACAAGCTCATTGTTAAAAATTCAACTGATATAAAGTCTTACAAAAGATTAATTAAAAGGTGGACAATTTCCTTCAGTACCCCCATCTCACACCCTAGAAATAACCACCGTTTATGGAACACAACATTAAGCCACTTTCACTTCTCTCAGAAAGACCCTGTTGTGGACTTACAGAGGTCTATCTCCAAATCTTCAAGAAGGCCACATGAAATCATGTATGTAAAAGAGTTCAGCAAACTTTGAAATTGTATACAACTGTTACTTAATATTACAGGCTTATTTCAACATTAATAACTATTATAATAAGTAGTCTTTGGAAGATTTGCTGATGCCCTCAAAGGATGTTTTTTTATCACTAGTGAAAGTTTCTTCTCATATTCCAAGGCCTATGGCAAAAAAGAATCTTTATATTGCCTCCAAGGTGTGGTAAAGCTGTTACACCTGTGCATGTGTGTGTAATAAAAATCCCACTGGTAGAAGACTCTGCCCCCACAGTGGTACTGAGGCCATTTCTTTCAGTTTCAAAGTCACTCAAATACAACCTCGGAAACAACTTTAAAAGTTCTCCCTTTCATATAATGGCAAGTAAAATTGAGATCTTTTTCTTCTTTTCTTTCCTTTTTCTTACCTATTTTTACCTTCTTATTTTACCTCCCACTCTGTTCTGGACCTGCAAGCATTGGGCTCCTAAATGTCAGCTCTAGAAATAAAAAGTACAACAGAGACTGCTATTTTTCCTGCCCAAGTATTTAGTCTTCTCCTCCAAAGAAATACAGACACTTAACAATCATTCGTGATCAATGTGTACCATCCAGGCAAAAAATTCAGGATTTAACTAAAAGGTCAGAAAATGTGGCGCCCATAATCAGGAGAAAAAAATGAAATCAACATAAACTGGCTCGGAATAAACAAGTTCGCCGACGGCTAGAACTCTAAGGTGTAGCTCTCTCTGAGTTGAACACTTTTTTTATACCTCATAAAAAGCACAACTCCCAAATTTTCCAAGATCTAACGGTTCAAAGCCTCTCCTTCACAGGCTGCAAAGGAGAAGGTTACTCACCAGGTCCCCATGATTGGCGGTGTCCGGTTGCAGTTGTGTGTGGAAATCTGAGTGAACATCCTTTATTTATATTTTTTTTTGAGACAGAGCCTCAAGCTGTCCCCCTGGGTAGAGTGCTGTGCCATCACAGCTCACAGCAACCTCCAACTCCTGGGCTCAAGCGAGTCTCCTGCCTCAGCCTCCCAAAAGTAGCTGGGACCACAGG